GGAGATGTTGGAGTTGTTGTATGGTTTGCAGCATTTTGGCATCTAGGTATTCAGATATTCTTGTGGATTGATTTGTTGATCTTGTATAGGATTGTTGTAGTGGGCGTATGTTTCTCCTGAGCTGTTTTAAATAGGTAATTGATTGTAGTTTTTTGGATTTTTGAGGTGATTTCTAGTAGGATATCAGGTGGGTGATTGTTGTGTGCGATAGTCTCCAGTATTTGCATCAGGTCTAATATTTGTTTTTTTATTGCCTCTGAAACTTGTGTTTTGGTACAAATTTTTGTTATTGCTTGCTGAATAATCTGAGCAATAGTGAGGATATTTGCTGGACAGAAAATTCAGTGTGTATTGATTTTAGCTTCGGTTGTGCATCTTGAGCAGTTTGGATTGGGGTATTTTTTAGGATTGCGGATATTTAAATTTGAAAGTGTTGGTAGTTTATGAGGACATTAGTAAAACAATTCACCCTGCCAAAGCAGCCCGAGCTCTCTGAAAAATACATCAACAAATTCCAAAAAAAAGTGCAATCAATATAATACTTATCTACTACAGCACAAATACTCCTGATGATAAAACCCACACTATAGTATAGTACATACTTCAAACTAACATCAAATTCTGCCAAACTACTTCTACCTGGCTCTCAAAATGCAAAACTCAAATTGATGTCTTATTCAGCATAGCACTAATAGCAAATACAAACACTCATCTTACAATTTACACTGATGACCTAAAGTTTATACAACTTACTAACAATATTCTCAACATACCAGCACACAATACTGCACCTATTTTTTTTACTTATTTATGGGCCAACTGGTTCACTCTCAAAGCTCTTATCGCCAAAAAAGACTTTGCTATTAACATAGCACTTATAAACTGTCTCTCTAGCACCACACAATCCTTTATCAACACTACGAGTCTTGATATTATACACACTTGTATCCACCAAGACATATATACAGCATACTGGCAACAGGCCTGCATCACACACAAACTCTGATGATTCATCCAACATATCCAAAATACACAGCATATAGCCAGATAGCACTCACAAAACAGGATGGAAAGATGGAACACGAACAG